TATTTTAAAATGCTGGCAGTGAATTAATTTTTAACCCAAACTTTAAGTCATATGGGTTAAAAATTAATTAAAGATTAGAGGTCAAAAGTCTTCTAGCCAAAATTGTGATCATTTTATTTCTTACTTCTGGAGGAAGGTTTACAAGTTTCTAACCAAATAGAATGTCATTAGGTTATGATGACATCAAAGTCAAGATATCCCATTAATACCTTATTCAATTCAGCTTAATAATAGGAATTTGTTATATGTTTGGACATTTATCAGGTTACTAGTTAAATGCTTACGAGATGATAGCACATGATATTGAATAAAAATTACAAAGCAGGACCATCATATCAAAGCCAGTATCCTTGGATAGAAAGCCATCCCAGATCATGAGCAATAAAAACCCAGAAACACCTGTAGGAAAATAAGGCTCATATGTAAGAAGAGAGGAAGGAGAGACATGCAGCAAATGTTGCTGATGGGCAGCTTCATGTTAAAGATACTTGTCCTGATTTTCTCTAAGCCCCCAAAGTATGAACATTTTTTGTGTGTACTGTAGTTGCTATTATTACTTACTATGAATGTTATAGTAATAATAGTTCTCTCAATGACTCATCTTTGCTGTGATGCTTCCAAAAAAAAAAAAAAATTAACAGAACTTCAGCCAATAAGGTATATCCTGCAACCTTGCCTGAAAGAAATTTTGAAGATACCACACCATTAATTTAAATTATTATGAAAACTCAAATTTTTGAAGCACTTTGTGCTTAATAAAATGCCTTCACATATCATTTTTTATTTGATTCTGATAAACTCTGTGAAGGATGAAAAACAATCATTTTACTGCCACTTCCCAATGATAATACTGAGGCCCAAGGAAGCTAAGCACTTTACCAAAATCAGTTCACATGTAAAAGAAATCAGTGCCTTTAGCCTCTGATTGAAACCGCCAATGCAGTGTCTTCTCCAATCTCTGTGCATTACTCATGTATTGAATGGAATTTCATCCACAATGATCTTGTGATAGAAGGTGCTCAAATGACTTATCTGTACTACATTCCAAAGTTAAAGGTGAGGATTAATTAACAGAGATGATGGGGAATCAGAAGCTTGCCTTACAAATTTAGTGTTCACTGGTTTGTTTTTTAATTCATAAATGTCCACATAAGCCATTAGTGTTGAGGAGGTAAATTACGGCAGCCGTAGTACAATTCTGCAGATAACTACAGATATAGGGCAATCAAATCAGATACATAAAAATCAAGACTTGTCCCAAATAAGAATGAGCAAATAATTATTTTCCTCATAAAAGAATTCACTAGAGAAGTGAGTCACTGCTCAAACATAGTAGAAAAGTGTACACCCTTATTATAGAAAGATATAACAAGTGTTAATTGCACTTTGGACAACTCACCCACAAACACTGCCGGCATTTTAAAAATGCATTTCATCTGCTTAGATCTGTGTTACTCAAATATGAGCAGCTCTAATTGTCATTAATTGAACAATGTCCAGCTCTCTGGATTGCACACTTTGAGATAACACAATACTTGTGGAATAGGGAAAGTAAGCTATACAGCATCACTCACAGCATCAACGTATTGAGACTAAATTTTCTCAGGTATTATCAGTGATAGGAAAATGACAGTGTGATTCCATCTGGGGTAGCACTGGTTTGACAGCATCACTTAGAAATTAAAAATCTAGATCTGATATCACAACTGCCCAAAGGCCACACCAACTGTGCTTCTTACTAGCCACATTAGGAGAATATCTTAAGTGCTCTAAACCTTGCTTTTCTAATCTATATAGTTCTTCCCCTCATAATGTTGTGACAAATAAAAGCAGCAATGCAATGAGGTATTTAGCGGAGTACCAGTAAAATAAGTTATATGAATGCAAAGACACTTACTTAGCTATTGCTACCAACTGCATCTACTACCAGATGCATATTGAAGAGAAACAAAACATATTTTAAGACATATTAAAAATTACCTATGTGAATATATGCCTCTCATATGTATACTACACACACAGCATATATATGCTGTATGTATGTACTAAATGTGTGTGTGTGCATGTACAGCAAGGTAAATTTTTTATACTTATTCAACAGATTTTTTTGTCTGGGAAGGTAAATAAATTTGGCGAAAGTTGTACTGCTTGTTGGAATTAGAGCTGAGGTCCATCACTGTATATGATTGATTCTAAAACTGTACTTTTTAAAATAGGATCCAGTTTATTGTAACCTACGGTGATCACATTAACTATTTTTTAACTTGAATTCAGTAACTTGTATCTCCTTGAGGTTATAAGGTCTTCATAATATAGACAAATCCTCTAAAATTCATGGGGAAAATCTGACAAATCCTTTCGCATGGGACTGAAGGAAAGGTGCCACTGGCCACAGATATAAAGGTGTATATGGACCTTTTTCTGAACGTAGGACTTTATTTTACTGTTCCCCTAACACATGGTCATGCAGTTCATATTTGAACATTTTTGGTAATCTGGTAAGACTATTAATTTTTTTTTTTTTTGAAGTGGAGTCTCACGCTCTTACCCAGGGTGGAGTGCAGTGGTGCGATCTCAGCTCACTGCACTCCGCCTCCTGGATTCAAGCAATTCTCCTGCCTCAGCCTCCGGAGTAGCTGGGACTACAGGCATGTGCCACCACACCTGGAATTTTTTGTAATTTTAGTAGAGATGGGGTTTCACCATGTTAGCCAGGATGGTCTTGATCTCCTGACCTCATGATCCTCCTGCTTCAGCCTCCCAAAGTTTTAGGATTACAGGCATGAGCCACCATGCCTGGCCAGTTTTTTTCTTGTGGTGACCTAAAATATACTTTTCTCTAATTTCTACCCATTGTCCCTGTCCTTCCTTCTGCTGTTTACAAGTCTGGGAAGTTTGACCCTGGCACAAGCTGGAGCACCAAGAGCAGACTCTTAAAGAAAAGACAGGCCGGGCGCCGTGGCTCTAGCCTGTAATCCCAGCACTTTGGGAGGCCGAGGCGGGTGGATCACGAGGTCAAGAGATCGAGACCATCCTGGTCAACATGGTGAAACCCCGTCTCTACTAAAAATACAAAAAAAATTAGCTGGGCATGGTGGTGCGTGCCTGTAATCCCAGCTACTCAGGGGCTGAGGCAGGAGAATTGCCTGAACCCAG